CACAAAACGGTTTCATATAAATGTTGAACAGGAGCAGAGAGTACCGAGCTCTGCGGAACCCCGCAAAGCAGTGGACGAGGACTGGATTTCTCCCCTCCTATCAAGAATGAGAGTGGGCGCAGAGGAATGAAGTGAGCCAGAATAGCACAAGGCCTCCCACTCCCAACCCATGGTCAATGGTATCGAAAGCACCAAGAGGTCAAATAGAGCAAGGATGGATGCACCACTCACATCACGCTCTCGCCAGATATCATACAAAAGCAGGGCCAATGACAATTCTGTCCCAAATCCAGGCCTGAATCTTGACTGGCAGGAGTCCTACCTGTCAATGACTCCTTCAGTTTCAACCACAACAATACACGAGCACACAATAGATGGAAAGTTATGGTAAACTGCGCTAAACTTGATTGCAGAAAATATGACTTCAGTAACAGAGTCACTAATGCCTGAAATGCACTACCAGACTCTGTGGTTTCTTTCCATAACCCCCAAACTTTAACCTTAGACCGTCTACTGTCGACCTCACCCCATTCCTAAGAGGTCTCTAAGGCAAGTGCATAAGCACACCAGCATGCCTACCATCCCTGTTGTAATGTTCCCTTTTATATGTATCCATTTCATGTATTTGATTGGAGACAGGTTGGAAATTATTCAACATGGTGGAATCCAGGGATAGCTTCTTAAGAAGAGGATGGACCACAGACTCCTTCAAATGCTGGGGCACTGCCCCCTTCTATAGGGAAGCATTAATGACCGCCAGCGTCCACCCACCTGTCATCTCCCAGGAAGCTTTCCAAAGCCAGGCGGGGCATGGGTCTAAAACACAGGTGCTTGCACCCACCCTCTATGCTCTAGGATCCTGTCCACTTCCTCAGGAGCAACAGGGCCAAACCGTTCCCAGATATCGGAGCAAGAACCTGCCTCAGAGGCTTCCACCGGACTAGCAACCACGCCGGCATCCAACTGGGAACAAAGTCGAGCGATTTTGTCTTCCAGAAAAACTACAAATACCTCAGCATGCCCCTTCAGGTGGACCTCAATCTCCTCCTTCCCCAGGAGGAGGAGGCTCACCTAAAGAGGGTCGCTGGGCAATTATCTGTAGATGCAATTAGTGTGGAGAAGTATAAATAGGAAGAGGTATTGTATAGAAAAGAAGACAGAGCGAAGGTAAGACAGATGGGTAATCGGAGGATCTTCAGTTACCTCCTGAGGTGTCCTGACTTTGATCCTTCCAAGGGATCCTCCTGAAAAATAGCTCCTGAGGGGGATTTGATGGGTTCTTCTTTCCCTCAGGATTTCTGATCTCCACAGTGCAGCACTTCAAATAGGAGGAAGGAAGGAAGAAACAGAATTAATGTACATCACACGACATAAAGTGGATTCCTATATTCGGAACACAACCTCAAAGACCCCAATATCCATACATGTGGTTGAGTGAGAAAACAATGAAACAATGTCTTACTAGAATAGGTGGGACATTGCCACATATTATGAATGTCAGAGAGGTTTGGGAAGGAGGGGTGAAGTATTCAAACAGATTCTCTATTCTCTATTGAACTCTTACCTGCAACTCGACTTGCTCCTTCTGCTCCTCCACCTGGTTCAGGAGGAAGCCTTCCACCAGGGCCACTGCCTGGGAGCTGGTCTGAGCTCCATATTCCCGCACCCAGCTCTCCATCTCTGGGGGCAGAAGAGCCAGGAACTGCTCCAGAACCACCAGGTCCAGCATCTGGGCTTTGGTGTGCTTTTCTAATCTCAGCCATCGCCTACTAAAGTCATGGAGGTGGCTGCAAAATCCTCGGGGACCCTCAGCCTCCTGACATTGGATGAACTTCCAGGGCTGAACTTCTGAAGGGAGGATGGTTTCCTCCTCCAGGATCTTCTGCCCAGTCCTTGTCCAGAGATTCCCCCTCTTCCCAGGCTGAGCAGCTGAAGGGCCTTTTCCACTTCCCTCCTTTCCAAAAGGTTGTGTCTCCATCCTTTCTCTGTCCTGCAGAGCAACTGCAAATGGCTCCAAGGACTCTGGTGGGTCTCCAGGTGCCTTTTCCTTCACGGGACCATTTCTGGGGCTGCAGGACTGATCCCTCCAAGGGATTCTGATTTTTTTATTTTCCAAAATATTCCGCTCTTTTTTTTCGCCACAAGAGAAAAGTTTGCCTTGCAAAGACCACAAATGGCTTCCAGTTTCTGTATCTGAGATGGGAAGAAAAAACAAATATTAAGAATTAGAAAGTGGAATTCAGCCACTGAGCGACCTTCCCCCAACCTCCCCGGAGCCACAAGAGGCTCATCCCAGCGCAGGACTGAGGTGCCCCCGAGCAGGGCCGGGAAGGAGGCAGCTGGAGAGGCCGCCCCGCTTCTCTCCCCTCCGGAGACAGGGAGCCTGGTGCGAATCCTGCCTCCTCCTCGCCCGGCTTCTCTCCGCTCCTGCTGGGCCTCCGCAAGGCCGACCCTCCCCTCCCCCCACTCGGCTCTTCCTCAGACAGGGGGCGGGAAGGGAGCCCCGGTTCCCCCTGCATAGAGAGGGCGGCTGGGGAGCATGGGTTGAAGCCGGAGGAGGGCCAGGGGCGGGTCTCTCCCTCCTCCGCCTCCCTTTGCCCGGGAACAGCCCCCAACTCACCCGGGAACTTCTGGATCTCCCCCCGCCAGACTCTCCCGCAGCCTCTCCACCTCCTGTGGAGCCCCAGGGGTTAAGGAGAGCGAGTGCGGCGTCCTAGAGCGGCAAGCATTTGTGATGTCATTTCCTTCCCAGCCTCCTATGGAAAGGCAGCTGTGACGTTTGCCATCCGGCGGACCAATGGGGAAGCGCATGACGGTACCTTCTTTTAGCAGAGGGCTCCCCCTGGTGGATTAGGAGCAAAGTGCCAGGATTGTAGAAAGGGCGGGAAAGAGGACCGCGTCTGAGGGGAAGGGAGAGGGCAGGGATGATGGCCTTGGGAATTGGAGAAAGGCCCCTCTCAATTTCTTTCTCCATTTTCCTCTCTTTCCTGTCCAGGAACCCTCTGTGGAGATGGAAAAAATCTCTCTGGAGGATTTAAAGTCGCTTCCCTCAAGAACAGCCGCCCTGAAGGCTCCGCAGAGATTGTGGGAGGCCTTAAAAGGGTCCAAATCCTGTCACAGACAGCCGGGCGGTCAGAAGAGGAGGACCAGGAGCCTCTGTGGGAAAGACAGCTGGTGTCTTGCGGTTGCTGGGATCTCCCGCCTGAAGGGGAGGCAGATGGGACACAGGCAGGAAAGCCACAATCAGGAAAATGATTTTAATTTATTTCTTTTTTTATTTCTTTAATTCAATGCATGCAGCTGCCCTTCTCAAACTATTCGCTCAGCCTCACAGCAAAGGGGGAAGGAGAAAGGGAGGGACCCCTCCGGTCTCTTCTGATGAAAGAAAAGGAAGATCCTGAAAAAGGAATAAACTATGAGGAGGAAAAACCATTTTTACATAGGGATTGAGTAGGAAATTCACCTCAAGAAATGTGACTAGGAAGCTTAAGGCCCTTGGAGAATTGAATGCAGGGATATATTATTAGACCATTAATGAAAAGAGAAAATGAAAATAAAAAAGCAAGACAAGGAAAGCTGAAGGCTCCATTGAGAATTTGATGCATCTTTAGCAAGTAACTACATGACTAGTTACTTAATTTTAAGTTACTTAATGTTCCGACATACCATAAAAAAACAAAAACGTGGCCCTAATGCTTGAAAAGTATCTTTTGCTCATGCATGTTTCAGCTTCTCTTCATTCTGGCTCCTTGCTTGAAAGACAAATTGTCATTATTCCATCACATCCTAAGGGATCTTTGACCTAAAACGGTTCCTTGCTTTTGCATTCATCTGGTTGACACAGTGATTAATTTGACACAGTGGACGCTAGTTGGATTGAGGGGTCCTTGGTGCCCTCTGAGGTTGGTTGGTGCAGTGATGATCGTCCCTCGTTTGGCTAATGAAAGGTCTGCAACAACACAATCAAGCTCAGAGACCACCAAGGACCCCTCATTTCAACCGTGAGCTACACATTTTCTCCTTTGTTGGCAGGCTGGATTATTTTTGGTATCTGGACATCCCAGAGAAAGTTCCCATTCGCATTTCTGCATGTTTCATCAGGAAGGACTGAAGTAATTTTTTGAAGTAGTTCTTAATTTCATCTTATTTTGGTCCCCATTGATTTCCAAAGATCTTCCTTCTTGATTGATCCTTTGCAATGTTAGCACACCAGAGTGGTTTTCATTCTCATATCCTGGAGTATGCCTAATTTGGGAGGGAGGAGGAGGTCAGAGCCATCATTTATTGCCACTGGAACTTCAAATGGTTACTTAATAAATTATTGTAAATCAGGGACTGCCTGGATTGGCCACCAGCTGCCTACCTATGGGAACTTAATATGCATCCACATATCCCTACCACTGCTTTCTCTTTCCTTCTTTTCCACAACTATGTGAAAGTAGTTGCCATGGCACTGAAACAAGGATAACTGCAACATAAGTAAGCAGTGTGGCCAGTTAGCTGGGAAGGCAGACAAAATTCTGAGATGCATCACCAGATATATCACCATCAGCAAAAAGGAGCTCCTATCCCTCTACAGAGGGCTTTAGTGAGACTCCATTTGGAATACTGTGTCTAGTTCTGGAGACTTCACTTTAAAAAAGGTATTGATAAGATTGTGTGAGTCCAGAGATGGGCAACACGAGGAAAGGCAAGGAAAGACCAACACAAAATGAGAAAGAGCCTATGAATTGCATTTTCTAATTCAGCATTACTATAACCCCCTTTTCCTTATGGTTTTCTTTCTCAGTTGTTACTGGTGTTACATAATGTGAAGCAGGGTGGAAAGGCAGACTGAGACAATAGTAAACACAGGAAGAAAAGCTGAAACAATAGTAAGGGATTCAGGACTGATTGCATTTCTGCCTGCAACTCTGCTCTAGTGGCAATACTCATCAGAGGGAGTTACTTGAAAAGATTAGGAAATCTGCACCACTTAAATATTGGCATCCACACATCACTTTGAGGGCAAACTATAACTTTAATCTCCATTGATACTCATCTTTCTTTTAAAACCTCCTACTTAGCAAAAAAGGACCAGAATGGACAGGATTCAAAATCAAAATCAGAATAGAGCTGGAAGGGAAGTTGGAGCTCTTCTAGTCCAATCCCCCGCCCAAGCCGGGGGCTCTGAGAAATGGCAGTCCAATCTCTTCTTGAAAGCCACCAGTGATGAAGCGCCCACAACTTCCGAAGGCAAGCTCTTCCATTGGTTGATTGTTCTGTCAGAAAATTTCTCCTTATTTCTGGGTAGAATCGCTCCTTGATAAGTTTCCATTCATTATTCCTTGTCTGGCCTTCAGGTGCCTTGGACCCTCTCCTCTCTGTGGCGGCCCCTTAAATATTGGAACACTGCTATCCTGTCACCCCTGGTCCTTCTCTTCACTAGATTAGCCATGTCCAGTTCTTATAACCATTCTCGTTTTAGTCTTCCGGCCTTTAGCTGTTGTTGTTCTCATTTTTTCCAAAGTTTCAACAACTTTTTTGTAACATGATGACCCAAAGAGGATGCGGTATTCCGGGTGTGGTCTTACTAAGGCTTTATAGAGCGGTACTAATACTTAATGTAATTTTGATTCTATGCTTCTGTTTATACAACCAAGGATTGTATTCGCTTTTTTGGCTGCTGCCGCACACAGGTGATTCATGCTTAATTGATCATCCATTCTGACTCCAAGGACCCTTCACAGTTACTATTTTCGAGCCAGGTTTCAGGAAATCTGTTTTTCCTGCCCACGTGTAAAAACTTACTTTTCTCCACATTAAATTTCATTTTCTTGGATTCTACCTTGTCTCATTTGGATCAGAAAGGCACAATATGCATACAGATCAAAATCTATAGAGACATGGTGGATCAGTGGTCAGAATGCAGTACTGTAGGCTTATTGACCACACCCAGAAGTTTGATTCTGACAGGGTCATGGTTGATTCAGCTTTCATCCTTCTGAGGTGGGTAAAATGAGGACCCAGATTGCTGGAGACCATATGCTGACTTTGTAAACTGCTCAAAGAGTGCTGTAAAGCATTGTGGAATGGTATATAAGTCTAAGTGGAATTACTATTGCTATGCAGTTTTCCCTGAGTGTGGATCCTTTTATGAGAAGTAAAACTACCTTTCTGAGCAAAGCCCATTCCACATTCCATGCATTTATACGACTTCTCCCCTGTGTGGATCGTCTTATGGCGAATAAGATGACCTCTTTGAGCAAAGGCCTTTCCACACTCCATGCATTTATAGGGCTTCTCCCCTGTGTGGATCCTTTTGTGTATTCTTAGATAACTGCACTGAGCAAAAGTCTTTCCACACTCCATGCATTTATACGGCTTCTCCCCTGTGTGTATCTTCTCATGGCAAATAAGACTACGTCTTTGAGCAAAGATTTTTCCACATTCCATGCATTTATACGGCTTCTCCCCCGTGTGGATCGTTTTGTGGATAGTAAGTCCATCACTATAAGCAAAGCTCTTTCCACATTCCATGCATTTATATGGCTTCTCCCCTGTGTGTATCATTTTGTGGATAGTAAGTCTATTTCTATAAGCAAAGATCTTTCCACATTCCATGCATTTATACGGCTTCTCCCCTGTGTGGATCCTCTTATGGCGAATAAGACTACCTCTTTGAGCAAAGATTTTTCCACATTCCATGCATTTATACGGCTTCTCCCCTGTGTGGATGATTTTGTGGATAGTAAGTCCATCACTATAAGCAAAGCTCTTATCACATTCCATGCATTTATACGGCTTCTCCCCTGTGTGGATCTTCTTATGGCGAATAAGATTACCTCTTTCACCAAACGTCTTTCCACACTCTGAGCATTTATACGGCTTCTCTCCTGTGTGGATCCTCTTATGGCGAATAAGATTACCTCTTTGAGCAAAGATTTTTCCACACTCCAAGCATTTATACGGCTTCTCCCCTGTGTGGATAATTTTGTGGATAGTAAGTCCATTTCTATAAGCAAAGGTCTTTCCACACTCCATGCATTTATACAGTTTCTCCCCTGTGTGGAACCTTTCATGTGCTCTTAGGTCACAGCTCTGAGCAAAGATCTTTCCACACTCCATGCATTTAAATGGCTTCTCCCCTGTGTGGATCCTCTCATGGCAAATAAGATGAGCTCTTTCAGAAAACATCTTTCCACATTCCATGCATTTATACAGCTTCTCCCCTGTGTGGATCCTCTCATGGCAAATAAGATGAGCTCTTTCAGAAAACATCTTTCCACATTCCATGCATTTATACGGCTTCTCCCCTGTGTGGATCCTCTCATGGCGAATAAGACTACCTCTTTGAGCAAAGATTTTTCCACACTCCAAGCATTTAAATGGCTTCTCCCCTGTGTGGATCCTCTCATGGCAAATAAGATGAGCTTTTTCAGAAAACATCTTTCCACATTCCATGCATTTATACGGCTTCTCCCCTGTGTGGATCCTCTCATGGCGAATAAGATTACTTCTTTGAGCAAAGATTTTTCCACACTCCAAGCATTCATACGGCTTCTCCCCTGTGTGGATCCTCTTATGGGAAATAAGACTATTTCTTCGAGCAAAGGTTTTTTTGCACTCCATGCATTTAAATGGTTTTTCCCCTGCCTGGATCCTTTTTGGGGAAATAAGATTACTACGTCTTCTGAACCTGTTACCAGACTCTCTGCATGTGTATACCTTCTCCCCAGTGTGAATCCCTTCATGGGAAGTAAGTTGCCTGCTTGTTCCAAAACATGTTCCACGTTCCAAACATTTGTAAGGCTTCTGTTTTGTGCCCATCACTTTTTGAGATGTAAGGAACTTATTTCCAAGAGAAGGAATGAATTTCCCGTTGTAACTTTGTCTGTTGTGTCTCCTTAAAGCATCTTCTCCTTTGTTTTGGCTTGAATAGTGTTCATTTACTTGTAATTTAGCTTTGATTAAGTTCACACTTTCCCCAATATATTTTTTCCTAATTTTCTCCTGTTGGGCAAGAAAGTCTTGCATCGGGGCCTCGGGGGAAGATGAGCTTTCCTGATTCCAATCATTTGACTGGTTTCTATCATGGGTTTCTAGTTCCATTCGAATTCCAAACTTGTCCGTTCCATCTTTAGCATTGATCACTTGGAACAGTTCACAGAAATCTTGATTCTCTTGACCATTATTACCTTCAAAGCAAAAGAGAAATGAAAATAATAACGAGGTTAGAGAAAAGGATCAAACATTACAAAGTCAAATGAATTTCCTTCTGAATTTTTCCAAAATTCCATTAGGTTGTATGTTTGCATGCTTACAGTGGTGTGATATAGACGGGATGATTTCTATATTCATGAGTCCTGAAAGCTTTGAAAATTTCTAGAAAACATCTCTTTCTTTACAATTATCTATATATGTGCAAATCTCAATCAAAGTCTGTTTTGAGTCAAGGAATAATCAGGGGAAACACCCAAGGAGGAATAAGGAGAAAACTTAAGATTTATTGAGGTGGATTAATTTCATCAGAGATCTGTGAGAACTGAAACCATTTTGAAAAAAGCTCTTTCTTCCCCGGTGTACCTTGGAGCAGCTACTGCACGGCGTCTGTCTGGCAGGCAGGACTCCCACTCGGCCCATTCCTTGATCCCAACGATGAGACTTTGGAGTGAAGTCCCTTCCCTGAAGCCTCCCATTGGCTTGTAAATGCTCTTTGCACTGAGACGGGAAAGGTTGGGAGGCTTCAAGAATGGCTATTTTGCTGCCCCAAAATGTCATTGGCTGTCAAGGGCTTTTTGGACAGATCTGGTACAGGCTTTAGTTCGCAGAGAACATAGCCCTAAAACTACTTTAGTGTGAGATCACACAAGACGAGAAGTGCTATGGTTGCTTAGTGAACTGTTGTAACTCGGGGAATACCTGTATCGTAGGATGCTCTCAGTCACACTGCATGAGGCCTTTGTTCCTGAATTGGATTGGGAGAATGCTCTTCCATGGCCTGAGCGTGAAAGTTCTGTTCTCACACGATTTGGGGAGGTTTCAGAGAACAAATGACAACACATTCTTGTCATATGATCTTCAGTGGACACATAAAAGCACACCCCGTTCTTCTCAGCCTCCACAGATAAATTCAAATAGAAATGGAAAAATACAGATAAGGAATGCCCCAAAAGGACCTCAGCAAAGAGACACTGACTCTTTCCTTCCTTGGGATACAAAAAGGCCAGATACTTTCCTTTTCTCTCCCAGGAGACGATATCTGATTAGTGATTTTTTAATAAAAATTAACTATAATCTGTCTTCTTGAACTCTCTGATTTGGGAAAAGAAAACTCTTACCAAGAGAGACCACGTTCCTATAGTTTTCAAGCATGACTTCCAAATGCAGCGCTTTCTGGTCAGGATCCAGCTGAGACCATTCCTCCTCAGAGAAATACACAGCCACCTCCTCGAAGGACACAAGACTCTCCTGAACACGGAGAAAAGAACAGAACAGGAGGATTCATAAGATCTGTTCATCATCATCAATGATTTAGACAAGGGGCTTAAAGGGGAACTCATCAAATTTGCAGACAAGACCAAATTGACAGGAATACCAACACTGCACGAGGCTCGAGATATAGAAGGATTGACAGATTGGCACTTCTAACAAAATGAACTTCAATGGTGAGAAATGTGATGTGCTACATTTAGGAAAGAAAAACCAAATGCACTGCCATAGGATAGGTGATGCCTGGCTCAAAATTAGTAAGTGGAACAGGGATCTTGGAGTTCTAGTGGACAATCACTTAAACGTGAGCCAGCAGTGTGCTACAGTTGCCAAAAAACACCCAATAGAATCATAGGTTGCATTAAGAAAGAGATAGAATCATGATCACATGAAGTATTAGTGCCACTTTAGAATGCCTTGGTAAGACCACACCTAGGAACTTTGCATCCAGTATTAGTTGCCATGATGTAACAAAGATCTTGTGACTCTAGAAAGAGTGCAAGGAAGAGCAACTGATGATGAGGGGACTGGAGGCTAAAACATACAATGAACAAGTGCAGGAACTGGGCATGGTTGGCTAGTGAAGAAAAGGACCATGGGAGACAGGGTAGCAGTGCTCCAATATATGAGGGGCAGAGAGGAGGGGGTCAAGTTATTTTCCAAAGCACCTGAAGGCCAGACAAGGAATAATGGATGGAAACTCAATAAGGACAAATTTAACCAGAAAATAGGGAAACATTTTCTTACAGTGAAAGCAATCAACCAATGGAACAGAAGTTTCACAGGAGCTTCATCACTGGGAGCTTTCAAGAAGAGACTACACTGCCAACTGTCAGAAATGGTGTAGGAGGTTGGACTAGATGACCTCTCTTAATCCGTACCTTAGGAGGTTGATAAATTACAAAAAGAAAGGTGGTCCAGCAGTTCCTGCCACTGTGATACGTTTATTCCTAATTCTTGAAGGACGTTAAAAGAACTGCTTCTTGTAAAGGCAAAGTTGGAGGAGCACCTAGCAGAACAAGACAACCAGAGGAAGCTATGCTGGCTGACAGCAACTTCAACCTGCTAATCTGCTCTCCATGTTGTGGAAGAACACAAAAATAATCCAGTCCAAACAAGGGGAGGAATAGAAGGAGAGAGCATTCTGCACACCCACTTCACTTCCTGAAGGCGAGAATACAAATCTTTATAACTTTTCCTTTTCTTACCTGATTTAGAGGTTCAATCGCTGTTTTATCACCGTCATGAAAACCAGAACATTTCATTCTTTCTTTCTCTGTAAGGAATAAATAATTTCAAAATAAATAACAAAATATTTTATTTATTTATTTATTTTAGGCAATTTATATGCCGCCTATTCACACATGGCGACTCAAGGCAGGTTGCAAAATATTAAACCCATATTAAAATAATCAAACTAATAAAAGGAGAATTATATAATACATTAAAATAATAAAATACCCCACACCCTTTTCCCCGGCAAAAGCACCTCAGAGGAGCCGTTTAATGGGCCTCATCCCGCTCTAGGTTCCCCAGGTCCCTTGGCAGAACCACATCTTCAAGGCCTTCCGTGAGGCCCTTCTTCTGGGTCTCACCGGGTGTGTCTTCCTGGGGCAGGGGTCTGCAACCTTAAATATTCAAAGAGCCATTTGGACCCGTTTCCCACAGAAAACACCGGGAGCCACAAAAACCCTTCCCGTGCCTGACTATTTCTTTAGCGGCCACCAAACTAGCATATGTAGTTGAATTGAATGTTGTTTTCTTCTGAAACTTTTCTTTTCTTGGATTTATCCATGGTTGGCCTACTAAAGGTTGAAAAGCTCAATAAATCGTGTGCTGGCAGGTGTCGCAAATTGGCAGTTCCAACGCATATTTTGAGTGGCAGGGAGCCGCAGCAGAGGGGCGAAAGAGCCACATATGTCTCCAGAGCCGCAGGTTGCTGACCCCTGTCCTAGGGGATGAGACCCGCAACATTCCCTGCCTCCGCACTCTGGTAGCTCGGGCAGATGTAACCAGTAAGAGACGGTCCCTCAGATAACCTGGTCCCAAGCCATGAAGGGCTTTAAAGCTGATAACCAGCACCTTCAATTGTACCAGGAAGCAAATTGGCAGCCAATTTGCAGTTCCTGCAAGAGATACTTGTGCACAACGGGGTCTGCACAAAACTATGCGGGCCGCTGCATTTTGCATCAACTGGAGCGTGTTGCAATAGTCAAGACGGGAAGTGACTAGGGCATAACTGACTGTGAGTAGGGATTGTCAATCCAGAAAGGGACGTAACTGGCACACAACCCGTAGTAGTTGCACAAAGGCCCTCCTGCACACGACCGCCACCTGCTCTTTGAATAGATACAATAGATACAAAGTTACTGTAAACTGGGCTAACCTTGATTGCAGAAAATATGATTTCAGTAACAGAGTCACTAATGCCTAGAACGCACTACCATACTCTATGGTTTCTTCCCCTAAACCCCAAAACTTTAACCTTAGACCATCTACTGTCGACCTCACCCCATTCCTAAGAGGTCTCTAAGGCGAGTGCATATACACAGCAGCGTGCCTACTGCCCCTGTCCTAATGTTCCCTTTTATATATATCTATTTCATGTATTCATAATTATGTTTATACCTATATCTGTTAACTATTACATGCTTGACAATATATGTATTGTCAAGCACTCCTGTTCTGTCCCCGTCTCCACACACAGTCCACACCTTCCCACCAGTATTTATAGAGAGACGGCAGCTCCGATTACGCTTTGCTCGCACAAGCACGAAACCATAGATAGATAGATAGAGATAGATAGGTATAGGTATAGGTATAGGTATAGATATAGGTATATAAAAACAACCTCTGGAGCTGCTGCACAACCACCTTCTCAACCACCTTCCCCAAGAAGGGAAGACTGGAGTCAGGTTGGAAATTCTTCAACAGGGTGGAATCCAGGGATGGCTTCTTAAGAAGAGGGTGGACCACAGCGTCCTTCAAGTGCTGGGGCACTGCCCCCTCCTGTAGGGAAGCATTAATGACCACCAGCGTCCACCCCCCTGTCATCTCCCAGGAAGCTTTCCCAAGCCAGGCAGGGCATGGGTCTAAAACACAGGTGCTTGCACCCACCCATACTCCCTAGGATCCTGTCCACTTCCCCACGAGCAACAGGGTCAAACCGTTCCCAGATATCAGAGCAAGAACCTGCCTGAGGCTTCCACCAGACTAGCAACCACACCGGCATCCAACTGGGAACAAAGTCAAGCGATTTTGTCTTCCAGAAAAACCACAGCATGCCTGTCAGGTAGACCTTAATCTCCTCCTTCCCCAGGCGGAGGAGGCTCACCTAAAGAGGGTCGCTGTCAGGCCTCCTTTCATTATCCAGGAAAGAAAACCCCTGACTCCATTTTCATAGAGAAAGGTAACTTTTACTGGATAAGAACTGAATGCAGTCAAAGAAAAGCAAGGTCTGAAGCAAAGGCACGAAAATCACATATAGAAAACATCTCCCCCCAACTGTCCATCATAAATCATCCAATCCACAGGTTCTCCAGGGGTCATATGGGAGCAAACTTCTGGCAGTGTCATCCTCTTGCTATGCCACGACCGTTGACCTGGAGACATCAGCCAGCTTCAAAGAAAACCGCTGCAAAGTTTTACTTTCTTTTCTCCTGAAGCTCGCTTCCCCCCACCCAAGAATTCCAATAGCTCCCCCCTCCCCCCGTTTCATGGCAGCCGAGCAAGTAAGCAATGTGCAAGAAAGCGGAGGCTGACAGTCGCTGGGCAATTATCTGCAGATGCAATTAGTGTGGAGAAGTATAAATAGGAGGAGGAATTGTACAGAAGACAGAGCGAAGGTAAGACAGATGGGTAATCAGGGGATCTTCAATTACCTCCTGAGGTGTCCTGACTTTGATCCTCCCAAGGGATCCTCCTGAAAAATAGCTGCGGAGGGGGATTTGGTGGGTTCTTCTTTCCCTCAGGATCTCTGATCTCCACAGTGCAGCACTTCCAATAGAAGGAAGGAAGTAGCAGAATTAATGTACATCACATGACGTAAAGTGGATTTGTATATTCTGAATACAACCTCAAAGCCCCCAATATCGGATAGGAGCTGAGGTAGCGCAGTGGTTAGAGTGCAGTACTGCAGCTACTTCAGCTTTAAAGAGCCTGTAGTACAGTGGACTAAAGCACTGTTATTAACATCTGTTGCTTGCAATTACTGCAAGTTCAAATCTCATCAGGCTCAAAGTTGACTCAGCCTTCCATCCTTTCAAAGGTAGGTGAAATGAGGACCCAGATTATGGGGGCAATAAGCTGACTTTGTATAAATATACAAAAGTATGAAGGCTATTGCTTAACGCATTGTAAGCCGCCCTGAGTCTCCAGAGAAGGGCAGCATATAAATTAAAGCAAAAAAAAAAAAAGCTGACTGCAGTTCAGCAGATCAAATCTCACCGGCTCGGGGTTCACTCAGCCTTCCATCCTTCCGAGGTGGGTAAAATGAGGACCCAGATTGTTGGGGGCTATATGATAACAATATGCAATATGCTAACTTTGTAAACCGCTTAGAGAGGGCTATAAAGCACTATGAAGCAGTATAGAAGTCTACATACATACATACATAAATACATACATACAATATCCATCCATGTGGTTGAATGAGAAAACAATGGAACAATGTCCTACAAGAATAGGTGGGACATCAGCACATATTATGAATGTCAGAGAAATTTGGGAAGGAGGGGTGAAGTATTCAAACAGATTCTCTATTCTCTTTTGAACTCTTACCTGCAACTCGACCTGCTCCTTCTGCTCCTCCACCTGGCTCAGGAGGAAGCCTTCCACCAGAGCCACTGCCTGGGAACTGGTCTCTGCTCCACACTCCCGCACCCAGCCCTCCATCTCTGGGGGCAGAAGAGCCAGGAACTGCTCCAGAACAACCAGGTCCAGCATCTGGGCTTTGGTGTGCTTTTCTGGTCTCAGACATCGCCTACTAAAGTCATGGAGGCGGCTGCAAAGTCCTCGGGGACCTTCAGCCTCCTGGTATTGGATGAAGTTCCAGGGCTGAACTTCTGAAGGGAGGATGGTTTCCTCCTTCAGGAACTTCTGCCCAGTCCTTGTCCAGAGCTTCCCCCCCTTCCCAGGCTGAGCAGCTGAAGGGCCTTTTCCGCTTCCCTCCTTTCCAAAAGGTTGTGTCTCCATCCTTTCTCTCTCCTGCAGAACAACTGCAAATGGCTCCAAGGACTCTGGTGGGTCTCCAGATGCCTTTTCCTTCATGGGACCATTTCTGGGGCTGCAGGACTGATCCCTGCAAGTTATTCCGCTCTTTTTTTTCCCCCAAGAGAAAATTTTGCCTTGCAAAGATTTCAAATGCTTTCGACTTTGTGTATCTGAGATGGAAAGAAAAACAAATGCCAAGAATTAGAAAGTGGAATTGAGCCAATGAACAACCTTCTGGGCTTCCGCAAGGCTGACCCTCCCCTCCCCCCACTCGGGCTCTTTCAATGGAAAGGGTGGCTGGGGAGCATGGGAGCTGGGGTTGAAGCCAGACGAGGGCCAGGCGAAGGTCTTTCCCTCCTCTGCCTCCCTTTGCCCGGGAAGAGCCCCCAACTCACCAGGGGAACGTCTGGATTCCCCCCCCCAGACTCTCCGCCTTCTGCGGGGTTAAGGAGAGAGAGTGCACCGTCCTAGAGCGGCATGCTATCATGATGTTACTTCCTTCCCGGCCACCCCCTACAAAGACGGCTGTGACGTTCGCCCTCCTGTGGACCAATGGGGAAGCACCGGGAGTTCCCTTCCCTTGGCGGAGGGCGCCCCCTGGTGGATTAGGGGCAAAGTGCCAGGATTGCAGAAAGGGCGGGAAAGAGGAGCGCGTCTGAGGGGAAAGGAGAGGGCACGGATGATGGGCTTGGGAGTAGGAGGAAAGGCCCCTCAATGCCTGCCAGCCCAAGAAAAGCTTTGTGGTTTTCAGAGGCGCCACTTTCTCCATCTTCCTCTCTTTCCTGTCCAGGAACCGTCTGTGGAGATGAAGAAAAATCTCTATGGAGGATTTGAACTCGCTTCCCTCAAGAACAGCCGCCCTGAAGGTTCCGCAGAGATTGTGGGAGGCCTTCAAACGGTCCAAATCCTGTCAGAAACAGCCGGGCGGTCAGAAGAGGAGGACCAGGAGCCTCTGTGGGAAAGACAGCTGGTGTCTTGCGGTTGTTGGGAACTCCCGCCTGAAGGGGAGGCAGATGGGACACAGGCAGGAAGGCCACAATTCAGGAAAATGATTTTATTTCTTTCTTATTTCTCTAATTCAATACATGCAGCTGCCCTTCTCAAGCTATTCGCTCAGCCTCTCCGCAAAGGGGGAAGGAGAAAGGGCAGGGACCCCTCCGGTCTCTTCTGATGAAAGAAAAGGAAGATCCTGAAAAAGGAATAGAAAGCTAAACTATGATGTGGAAAAGCCATTTTTATATAGGGATTGAGTAGGAAATTCACCTCAAGAAATGTGACTAGGAAGCTTAAGGCCCTTGGGGAATTGATTGCAGGAATATATCATTAGACCATAAATGAAAAGAGAAAAAGGAAAGGAAAAAGCAAAACACGAAAAGCTGAAGGCTCCATTGAGAATTTTATGCATCTTTTAGCAAGTAACTAGTAAATGATCTCTGGCGGGCCAGGGATGGGGGTTGTTCCTCCAACTTGGTCCTTCTTGACCTCTCCTGCGTGAGCTGCACTGGCTGCCGGTGGCGTTCCTGATTTGTTTCAAGGTACCGGTGCTTACCTATAAAGCCCTTCATGGCTTAGGCCCGGGGGACTTGCAGGACCACCTCCTGCTGCTCTCCCACCGTCCCGTGTACTACTATTAATACACGTGTACTTTAAAACATATTCTTTCATTATCTAATCACCCATTTAATTCTAATATAATTCTACTGTTAATACACGTTTACTTTAAAATGTATTCTTTCATTATCTAATCACTTGTTATTTAGTTCTAGCATTTCACTGCCAATATTTTTATGCATCTTTAATAATACCATCATTAAATTCTAATTTTCACTTGTTAATTCTTATTCATAATTTTTCTTATTTCCCCTATTCCATTCTTCATATCTATTTATATTAAGATATTATCCTAATGTCTATGACTACTTATAAAATAATTAACCAAACTATATAATTCTAATATTAATACATATTATTAAAATAGATTTATAAAGGATTCCTTTACTCTTTTTTTTCTCCCTTATCCATCATCTCTTGCCCGCATCCAAACCTTTAATCTTACTTTCTTTTTGGCTTGCCTCCCATATTCATCCCTTAAATCTCTTACTCCATCTACTTCTAGATCTATCTTCTGACTACGCAATCTAACTTTTTCTTCCTTCTCTACCCTTTCCTACTGTCTAATTCCAAAACTATCTGTTCTAGGCCCCATCTCTTTTCCCCAGTTCTCTTACTGTTTCTCCTGTTCCCTTTTTAAGTCTTTCACAACATTTTCCTCCTTTTTTAGTTCCTTAATTGCTATTATTTTTAGGAATATCTTCTCCTTGTTGTCTTCTTGCTGGTTTCTCAGTTCTGCTTTCCCCTCCGTTCCTTCTGATGAGTTCATTCTTTCCTCGTTGTTCTGGTCTTTGCCTATTATCCCTTGTAATATAATTTCCAGTTTTTGGTCAATACAATCAAATATTTCCTTAATGCTTTGAAATAGCTCCATTCCGTTTTACTTCCCACACGTCTGTTTTTATTTATTTATTTATTGGTTCGATTTACATGCCGCCTTTCTCCAGAGACTCAGGGCGGCTTACAATGCGTTAAGCAATAGCTTTCCTACTTTTGTATATACCTGCTTAGTAGGGCTGTGTTCTTTTTATATAAAGTCATCTTATTGCCCCCACAATCCGGGTCCTCGTTTTACCTGCCTCGGAAGGATGGAAGGCTGTGTCAACCTTGAGCCTGGTGAGAATTGAACTCACAGTAATTGCAGGCAGCTGGTAGCTAAGTGCTAACTTTTTAACAGCACTTTAGTCCGCTGCGTAAACATAGTGGGTCTTTTTGACCAATTGTCCAAGAATCATTTTTTTTTTAAATATACTTTATTTTTTTAAAAAAAAATTTTTTTAAAGAAAACATCCAATCTCTGTTAACATCTGAGGTGTCGTATAGTTACATATTTATGTTATATACATTATATACATATCTATTACATTCTAATCTATGATTATTGAACATATACATATTCTTACAATCTCATTCTATTATTCCACCATTTATACCACCTTTCCCATACTGCCTTGAATTTTGAATTCGTATCATCGTTAAGAACACTTGTTAATTTTACCATTTCTGCACATTCTAGAATTTTGTTTATTATTGCCACCTCTGGAGGGGTTTGTTTGTCTTTCCAGTATTTTGCAAAGATTAACCTGGCTGCTGTAATGACATGTATTGTAAGATGTTATCTTATCTTTGGGGAGTCCATCTCTGATCATTCCTAATAGAAAGATTTCAGGGGAAAGTTTTATATCTTCTTCCATTATTTCTCGTAGCCAATTTTGTATTTTTATCCAAAACTTTTTTGTCTCAGGGCAGGACCACCACATATGAAAGGAGGTGCCAACCTCCTTTCCACATTTCCAGCATGTTGTTGAAGCATTGGGAAGGAAGGAAGGAGTAGAGAGATGGAAGAAGGAAGGAGAGAGAGGGAAGGAAGAGAAGGGAGGAAGGAAGGGAAGGGAAATTAGAGTAAGAGTGAGGGTAAGAGAGGGAGGAAGAGAGGAGGAGAAGGAGAAAGGAAGGGGAAGTAGGGAGGAGAAGAAGAGGGTGGGGAAGAGAAAGTAAGAAAGAAAGAAAAGAGAGAGGTGGTAGGTTTGAGGAGAAAGATTGCTATACAATAAAAAAGATGAAATGGAAGAAAGGCAACCCCAAACAAATATGAAGATATTAAGATAAAGAATGGATTGTTAAACTTTAAAGAATAAAAGAGAACAAATATGAATAAATAGCAATAATTAGAAACACACATACAAACATATAATGTATTTTCTTTGAACAGAGTATTTGGCCGGTTCACAAATTTAAACAGTGTTTAGTCATTTTAATTAAATTTACAATTTCTATATTTCCTTTTTGCCATATTTATTCCTCATCCATTTTTTTAAAAAACCAATATTACCCTTCATCCTCATCTCTAATCTTAATCAAATTCAACTTTTCCCTTCTATTCTATATTATACCCCTTCCCATTGTCATCTATTTTTATATTCATCCTCACATTGGTTAATTATGTAATATTACAGTTGTTTAATAGAAATTCAACATTTTAATCAAATCAATTAGTTATATAACTATTTTTTTGTATATTAATCAATATGAACATGAATATTCCAATTATTTCCATGTAATTCAATTTCTTACCAATCAATTAATTATATTTACCAATAATAATAAACCAAATAATTTGCCCCATATATTCCTCCAAACCACAATTTAACAATTTCTGCTTTCAACACAATATACAATTAATCTCAATCTCAATTATCACAATTTCCTAGTTAAATAGAGCTTTCCCCTTATGTTACTCATTTTCACACCTTAAACTCTCCCAACAACCCAAATATTTTTGCCCATAAGGTCATCCCACCCACCCCCGGGGGCGGTACCGCCCACTTTGGGAACCACTGATCTAGTCCAACCTCCCCACCCAAGCAGAAGACCCTACACTGTTTCTGACAAATGGCAGTCCAATCTCTTCTTGAAAGCCACCAGCGATGAAGTGCCCACAAATTCCGAAGGCAAGCTCTTCCATTGGTTGATTGTTCTGTCAGAAAATTTCTCCTTATTTCTGGGTAGAATCGCTCCTTGATAAGTTTCCATCCATTATTCCTTGTCTGGCCTTCAGGTGCCTTGGACCCTCTCCTGTCTGTGGCGGCCCTTAAATATTGGAACACTGCTATCCTGTCCCCCCTGGTCCTTCTCTTCACTAGACTAGCCATGCCCAGTTCTTATAACTGTTCTTGTTTTAGTCTTCCAGATTTTAATCAGCTTAGCTGCTCTTCTCACTTTTTCCAAACTTTCAACAACTTTTTTGTAACATGATGACCCAAAGAGGATGCGGTATTCCGGGTGTGGTCTTACTAAGGTTTTATAGAGCGGTACTAATACTTCATGTGATTTTTATTCTACGCCTCTGTTTATACAACCAAGGATTGTATTCGCTTTTTTGGCTGCTGCCGCACACAGGTGATTCATTCTTAATTGATCATCCATTCTGACTCCAAGGACCCTTCACAGTTACTATTTTCGAGCCAGGTTTCAGGAAATCTGTTTTTCCTGCCCAGGTGTAAAAGTTTGCTTTTCTCCACATTAAATTTCATTTTCTTGGATTCTACCTTGTCTCGTTTGGATCCGAAAGGCACAATATGCATACAGATTAAAACCTATAGAGACGTGGTAGATCAGTGGTTAGAATGCAGTACTATAGGCTAATTGCCCACAGCCAGAAATTTGATTCTGACAGGGTCATGGTTGATTCAGCTTTCATCCTTCTGAGGTGGGTAAAATGAGGACCCAGATTGCTGGACATCATATGCTGACTTTGTAAACTGCTCAAAGAGTGCTGTAAAGCATTGTGGAGCGGTATATAATTCTAAGTGGAATTACTAATGCTATAGTTTCTTCTGAGCGTAGATCCTTTTATGAGAATTAAGACTACCTTTCTGAGCAAAGGCCTTTCCACACTCCATGCATTTATACGGTTTTTCCCCTGTGTGTATCATTGTGGATAGTAAGTCTATTACTATAAGCAAAGCTCTTTCCACATTCCATGCATTTATACGGCTTCTCCTCTGTGTGGATCCTTTCATGTTTTCTTAGGTCACAGCTCTGAGCAAAGGTCTTTCCACACTCCATGCATTTAAATGGCTTCTCTCCTGTGTGGATCCTCTCATGGCGAATAAGATGACTTCTTCGAGAAAAGATTTTTCCACACACCAAGCATTTATACAGCTTCTCCCCTGTGTGGATTGTTTTGTGGATAGTAAGTCCACTTCTAGAAGCAAAGGTCTTTCCACACTCCATGCATTTATACAGCTTCTCCCCTGTGTGGATTGTTTTGTGGATAGTAAGTCCACTTCTAGAACCAAAGGTCTTTCCACACTCCATGCATTTATACGGCTTCTCCCCCGTGTGGATCATTTTGTGGATAGTAAGTCTATTACTATAAGCAAAGCGCTTTCCACATTCCATGCATTTATATGGCTTCTCCCCTGTGTGTATCATTTTGTGGATAGTAAGTCTATTTCTATAAGCAAAGGTCTTTCCACATTCCATGCATTTATACGGCTTCTCCCCTGTGTGGATCCACTTATGGCGAATAAGATTACTTCTTTGAGCAAAGATTTTTCCACACTCCAAGCATTCATACGGCTTCTCCCCTGTGTGTATCATTTTGTGGATAGTAAGGCTATCACTATAAGCAAAGCTCTTATCACATTCCATGCATTTAAACGGCTTCTCCCCTGTGTGGATCTTCTTATGGCGAATAAGATTACTTCTTTCACCAAACGTCTTTCCACACTCTGAGCATTTATACGGCTTCTCTCCTGTGTGGATCCTCTTATGGCTAATAAGATTACTTCTTTGAGCAAAGATTTTTCCACACTCCAAGCATTTAAATGGCTTCTCCCCTGTGTGGACCCTCTCATGGCAAATAAGATGAGCTCTTTCAGAAAACATCTTTCCACATTCCATGCATTTAAACGGCTTCTCCCCTGTGTGGATCTTCTTATGGCGAATAAGATTACTTCTTTCACCAAACGTCTTTCCACACTCTGAGCATTTATACGGCTTCTCTCCTGTGTGGATCCTCTTATGGCTAATAAGATTACTTCTTTGAGCAAAGATTTTTCCACACTCCAAGCATTCATACGGCTTCTCCCCTGTGTGGATCCTCTCATGGCGAATAAGATTACCTCTTTGAACAAAGATTTTTCTACACTCCAAGCATTCATACGGCTTCTCCCCTGTGTGGATCCTCTTATGGTAAATAAGACTATTTCTTCGAGCAAAGGTTTTTTTGCACTCCATGCATTGAAATGGCTTTTCCCCTGCCTGGATCCTTTTTGGGGAAATAAGATTACTACGTCTTCTGAACCTGTTACCAGACTCTCTGCATTTGTATACCTTCTCCCCAGTGTGAATCCCTTCATGGGAAGTAAGTTGCCTGCTTGTTCCAAAACATGTTCCACATTCCAAACATTTGTAAGGCTTCTGTTTTGTGTCCATCACTTTTTGAGATGTAAGGAACTTATTTCCAAGAGAAGGAATGAATTTCCCGTTGTAACTTTGTCTGTTGTGTCTCCTTAAAGCATCTTCTCCTTTGTTTTGGCTTGAATAGTGTTCATTTACTTGTAATTTAGCTTTGATTAGCTTCACACTTTCCCCAATATATTTTTTCCTTATTTTCTCCTGTTGGGCAAGAAAGTCTTGTATCGGAGCCTCGGTGGAAGATGAGCTTTCCTGATTCCAATCATTTGACTGGTTTCTATCATGGGTTTCTAGTTCCATTCGAATTCCAAACTTGTCCGTTCCATCTTTAGCATTGATCACTTGGAACAGTTCACAGAAATCTTGATTCTCTTGACCATTATTACCTTCAAAGCAAAAGAGAAATGAAAATAATAACGAGGTTAGAGAAAAGGATCAAACATTACAAAGTCAAATGAATTTCCTTCTGAATTTTTCCAAAATTCCATTAGGTTGTATGTTTGCATGCTTACAGTGGTGTGATATAGACGGGATGATTTCTATATTCATGAGTCCTGAAAGCTTTGAAAATTTCTAGAAAACATCTCTTTCTTTACAATTATCTATATATGTGCAAATCTCAATAAAAGTCTGTTTTGAGTCAAGGAATAATCAGGGGAAACACCCAAGGAGGAATAAGGAGAAAACTTAAGATTTATTGAGGTGGATTAATTTCATCAGAGATCTGTGAGAACTGAAACCATTTTGAAAAAAGCTCTTTCTTCCCCGGTGTACCTTGGAGCAGCTACTGCACGGCCTCTGTCTGGCAGGCAGGACTCCCACTCGGCCCGTTCCTTGATCCCAACGATGAGACTTTGGAGTGAAGTCCCTTCCCTGAAGCCTCCCATTGGCTTGTAAACGCTCTTTGCACTGAGACGGGAAAGGTTGGGAGGCTTCAAGAATGGCTATTTTGCTGCCCCAAAGTGTCATTGGCTGTCAAGGGCTTTTTGGACAGATCTGGTACAGGCTTTAGTTCGCAGAGAACATAGCCCTAAAACTACTTTAGTGTGAGATCACACAAGACGAGAAGTGCTATGGTTGCTTAGTGAACGGTTGTAACTCGGGGAATACCTGTATCGTAGGATGCTCTCAGTCACACTGCATGAGGCCTTTGTTCCTGAATTGGATTGGGAGAATGCTCTTCCATGGCCTGAGCGTGAAAGTTCTGTTCTCACACAATTTGGGGAGGTTTCAGAGAACAAATGACAACACATTCTTGTCATATGATCTTCAGTGGACACATAAAAGCACACCCCTTTCTTCTCAGCCTCCACAGATAAATTCAAATAGAAATGGAAAAATACAGATAAGGAATGCCCCAAAAGGACCTCAGCAAAGAGACACTGACTCTTTCCTTCCTTGGGATACAAAAAGGCCAGATACTTTCCTTTTCTCTCCCAGGAGACGATATCTGATTAGTGATTTTTTAATAAAAATTAACTATAATCTGTCTTCTTGAACTCTCTGATTTGGGAAAAGAAAACTCTTACCGAGAGAGATCATGTTCCCATAGTTTTCAAGCATGACTTCCAAATACAGCGCTTTCTGGTCAGGATCCAGCTGAGACCATTCCTCCTCAGAGAAATACACAGCCACCTCCTCGAAGGACACAAGACTCTCCTGAACACGGAAAAAAGAACAGAACAGGAGGATTCGCAAGATCTGTTCCTCATCATCAATGATTTAGACAAGGGCTTAAAGGGTAACTCATCAAATTTGCAGACAAGACCAAATTGACAGGAATACCAACACTGCACAAAATAGGCTCGAGATATAGAAGGATTGACAGATTGGCACTTCTAACAAAATGAACTTCAATGGTGAGAAATGTAATGTGCTACATTTAGGAAAGAAAAACCAAATGCACTGCCATAGGATAGGTGATGCCTGGCTCAAAATTAGTAAGTGGAACAGGGATCTTGGAGTCCTGGTGGACAATCACTTAAACGTGAGCCAGCAGTGTGCTACAGTTGCCAAAAAACACCCAACAGAATCATAGGCTGCATTAAGAAAGAGATAGAATCATGATCACATGAAGTATTAGTGCCACTTTAGAATGCCTTGGTAAGACCACACCTAGGAACTTTGCATCCAGTATTAGTTGCCATGATGTAACAAAGATCTTGTGACTCTAGAAAGAGTGCAAGGAAGAGCAACTGATGATGAGGGGACTGGAGGCTAAAACATACAATGAACAAGTGCAGGAACTGGGCATGGTTGGCTAGTGAAGAAAAGGACCATGGGAGACAGGGTAGCAGTGCTCCAATATATGAGGGGCAGAGAGGAGGGGGTCAAGTTATTTTCCAAAGCACCTGAAGGCCAGACAAGGAATAATGGATGGAAACTCAATAAGGACAAATTTAACCAGAAAATAAGGAAACATTTTCTTACAGTGAAAGCAATCAATCAATGGAACAGAAGTTTCACAGGAGCTTCATCACTGGGAGCTTTCAAGAAGAGACTACACTGCCAACTGTCAAAAATGGTGTAGGAGTTTGGACTAGATGACCTACAAGGTCCTTTCCAACTCTCTTAATCTGTACCTTAGGAGGTTGATAAATTACAAAAAGAAAGGTGGTCCAGCAGTTCCTACCACTGTGATACGTTTATTCCTAATTCTTCAAGGACGTTAAAAGAAGTGCTTCTTGTAAAGGCAAAGTTGGAGGAGCACCTAGCAGAACAAGACAACCAGAGGAAGCTATGCTGGCTGATAGCAACTTCAACCTGCTATTCTGCTCTCCATGTTGTGGAAGAACACAAAAATAATCCAGTCCAAACAAGGGGAGGAATAGAAGGAGAGAGCATTCTGCACACCCACTTCACTTCCTGAAGGCGAGAATACAAATCTTTATAACTTTTCCTTTTCTTACCTGATTTAGGGGTTCAACCGCTTTTTTATCACCGTCATGAAAACCAGAACATTTCATTCTTTCTTTCTCTGTAAGGAATAAATAATTTCAAAATAAATAACAAAATATTTTATTTATTTATTTATTTAAGGCAATTTATATGCCGCCTATTCGCACATGGCGACTCAAGGCAGCTTGCAAAATATTAAACCCATATTAAAATAATCAAACTAATAAAAGGAGAATTATATTATACATTAAAATAATAAAATACCCCACACCCCTTTCCCCGGCAAAAGCACCTCACAGGAACCGTTTAATGGGCCTCATCCCGCTCTATGTTTCCCAGGCCCCCTGGCAGAACCACATCTTTTTTTTTCTTTTTTTAATTTGATTTTTATTATAACATATAGTGATACATTCGGTACATTTTCGGTTCATTGGTGCAATTATATACATATATACATCTACATGCATTATTACTTGTCTTTTATTTGATATTGTTTCTTAAAGCTAGATTTGCTACCTGGACACTCTATTAGGTCGGCCCATTTTTCCATCACTACTGACTCTGTGACTTTATTATCACCCTCCTGGATTTTTATGTTTGTTCTCTATCTCCTTCTGCTGCTGGCTAGTTTATTCCTGCTGCCCGATTTCCACCTTTAGGCCTTGGCTCGGGGGAGGAGAGATTGCAGGCTGGAGGGAGAAGCTGAGAGTCCAGGTCAAGGACTGCTGCTCCATCTGCAGGGAGAGAGTGACTATTGTTGGCCTTTTATATCCAGCCGCGGTGAGAGAACGGCTGTGGCCATCCGCCTACACTGCAACCATCTGATCTGGTCGCCCCATCACTGTGAGAGAGTGAAGGGGCCCCAGCTTCATCCTGGCCAGCCTCTTTTGCTATCTCTCACCTCAATGACTATCTTTAAATTTCGCTGACATCCAAGGTTCCCCTTTTCCATCTCATCATACTTGTATGGCTTATACCTCGGCAGATTTGCTTGCGCTGCGAGATGCCCCCCTCTCGCGGCGATGGCCTTCCACTCTATCGAAGGCCTACCTTAAGGACGGGCTTTGGAGCCCCGAGAGGTGGCATGTTTTAAAGCGGGGATTGAGGGGTTTTTTAATTAGGGTTTTTAATAATCTTTTAAGGGGAACTGGGAGGGTGACCAAAGGGGATGGGGGGGGGGGTGTAATCCACCTAGGTCAGGGCCCAGCCTGGCACAGGGTAACGGTTTGGAGGGCGCAGGACGAGGGATTGGGGATGTCATCAGCACGGTGGATGGGAGGGGCAGATATGGCGGGAGCAGAGGACCTTATCTTGTGCCGGGGGTGCGCACTCGCTACTTGAGAGCGATTGCACGCCCCGGTCCTCAAGGCTCCCCTCGGATACTAGGTGGCTCAGATACTCAGGACCTGGGCCTCCGGCTGATGCTGTGCAACGCCAGGTCCGTGGTAAATAAGGCCCCACTCATTTACGATCTTATTCAAGAGGGGGGAGCGGACCTGGTGGGTATTACGGAGACCTGGTTGGGCCCGGAGGGAGGGGTCCCTCTGGTTGAGATGTGTCCACCAGGCTTCAGAGCATTCCATCAGCCGAGGGCCCAGGGGAGGGGAGGGGGGTGGCGGTTATTATTAACGAAGGTCTGGGTCCGAGGGAGACCACTGTGCCACAGATTGCCGGATGTGAGTCCCTCTTTGTGAGATGGGGTCATGGGGTTCAGATGGGCTTGCTGCTTACGTACCTGGCTCCCTGCCGCATGGCAACGGCCCTGCCCGAGCTACTCGACGTGATAGCCACGGTGGCAGTTGATACACCCAGGCTTATGGTCATGGGTGATTTCAATCTGCCGTCCGTTGGTGAAACGTCAGAGATGGCTCGGGAGTTCATGGCTTCCATGATGTCCATGGACCTGACCCAGTTAGTTCATGGCCCCACTCACAGGGGGGGGACACACGCTGGACCTGATTTTTGTCTCTGGCCAGTGGTTGAGTGGTCTTATTATAAGGGATATAGACATGAAACCCTTGTCATGGTCAGATCACTCACTCCTTCGTCTGGACCTTCGAACCGCTACACCCCGCCGCAGGGAGGCGGATCCAATTAGATGGATCTGCCCCAGGCGCCTGATGGATCCTGATAGGTTCCAGACGGAGCTTGGGCCAATTCCTGAAGATCTGGCACACGACTTGGCTGAGGACCTGGTAGCTGCCTGGGATCGGGCGGCTGGTGGGGCCTTGGATCGAGTCGTGCCTTTGCGGCCTCTGACCCGGTGTCGATCCCTCGCGGCTCCTTGGTTCACCGAGGAGCTGAGGGAGATGAAACGCCGGAAAAGATGCCTAGAGAGCGGTTGGAGGGCCAGTCTCGCTGAATCTGACCGAACACTGGTAAGGTCGCATATTAAGACCTACCTAGTGGCGATAAAGACGGCAAAGTTTAACTACTTTTCCGCCTCTATTGCGTCATCAGGGAATCGTCCGGCCGCCCTGTTCAGGGTAACCTGCTCCCTGCTCCATCCGGGAGCGCGGGAGGAACCCTTGGAAGGCAGGGCGGAGGATTTCGGACAATACCTGTATGACAAAATCGCTCAGATCCGGGGGGATTTGGACTCTGACTGGGTAGATCAGGGCAGGGTGATGAGGAATAGTCTTGAGAATGTTACCTGGGAGGAGTTTGATGCTGTGACTCCGGATGATGTGGACAGGATTTTGGGGAGACTTAGTGTGGCCACATGTTTACTGGACCCGTGTCCCTCCTGGTTGGTACTGGCCTCCCGGGAGGTTACACGAGGCTGGCTCCAGGGTGTTATCAACGCTTCGTTGAGTGAGGGTCACTTCCCCGCCGCCTTGAAAGAAGCGGTGGTGAGGCCTCTCCTCAAGAAGCCATCCCTGGATCCGGCAATATTGGCCAACTATCGTCCTGTCTCCAACCTTCGCTTCCTGGCGAAGGTTGTTGAGAGTGTGGTCGCGCGACAGTTTCCACAATTCTTGGAGGAAACATCCTATCTAGATGCGTTCCAGTCGGGTTTCAGGCCTGGACACAGCACGGAAACGGCATTGGTCGCGTTGGTTGATGATCTCTGGAGGGCTCGGGACAGGGGTTGTTCCTCTGTCCTGGTCCTGTTAGACCTCTCAGCGGCTTTTGATACCATCGACCATGGTATCATGCTGCACCGGCTGGAGGGGTTGGGGGTGGGAGGCACCGTTTTACGGTGGTTCTCCTCCTTTCTCTCTGACCGGTCGCAGTCTGTGTTGACAGGGGCAGAGATCGACCCCGAGGCCCCTTATATGTGGGGTGCCGCAGGGATCGGTTCTCTCGCCCCTTCTGTTCAACATTTATGTAAAGCCGCTGGGCGAGATCATCTATGGTTTCGGGGTGAAGTACCATCTGTATGCTGATGACACCCAGCTGTACATCTCCACCCCGGACCACCCCAACGATGCCCTTGAAGTGATGTCCCAGTGCCTGGAGGCTGTGCGGATCTGGATGGGGAGAAACGGGCTCAGGCTCAACCCATCCAAGACCGAGTGGCTGTGGTTTCCGACGTCCCGATATAGTCAGCTGGTGCCATCGCTGGCTATTGGGGGCGAATCATTGGCCCCCACGGAAAGGGCTCGTAACTTGGGCGTCCTCCTGGACTCACGGCTGTCTTTAGAAGAGCACTTGACGGCCGTGACCGGGAGGATTTTTCATCAGGTTCGCCTGATTCGCCAGTTGCGTCCCTTTCTAGATCGGGACTCGTTACGCACAGTCACTCATGCCCTCGTCACCTCTCGTTTGGACTATTGTAATGCTCTCTACATGGGGCTCCCCTTGAGGTGCACCCGGAGGCTCCAACTGGCGCAGAGTGCGGCCGCGCGGGTGGTTATGGGAGCAACATGGAGCTCCCATGTAACACCTCTCCTGCGCGAGCTGCACTGGCTCCCGGTGGTCTTCCGGGTGCGCTTCAAGGTTCTGGTTACCACCTTTAAAGCGCTCCATGGCTTGGGACCTGGTTACTTACGGGACCGCCTACTACCATCATCAGCCTCCCACCGACCAGTACGCTCCCACAGAGAGGGGCTCCTCCAGGTGCCGTCGGCCAAACAATGTCGGCTGTCGGCCCCTAGGGGAAGAGCCTTCTCTGTGGGGGCACCGACGATCTGGAATGAGCTCCCCCCAGAGATACGGAGGATTCCGGATCTGCGCACCTTCCGCCGCGAGTTGAAGACGCTTTTATTTCATCAAGCTGGCCTCGCCTAAATCTTCTCCCTTTTAAGTGTAAATTCTAAATTTTAATGGATTTTAAAATATGGGTATTTTTAAATTATGGGTATTAATTCAGCCAAATTTATTTAATCCATTTTATTCGATTTTAAATTTTGTATATTTATGTGTTTTATTTCATGGCTGTGCACCGCCCTGAGTCCTTCGGGAGTAGGGCGGTATAGAAATTCAATAAATAATAATAATAATAAGTACAAATATTAAAATACAGTTAAAATATACATATATAAATTTGGCCCCATTAATTAAAAACAATAAACAAAACACTTAAAAACACTTAAAAAATTAGGCCAGCCCGGCTTGCTGGAAAAGGAAGGTTTTAAGGGCACGGCGGAAGGCACTGAGGTCTTGGATTCTCCTTATCTCTGGAGGCAATTGATTTATAATCCCCTGGAGGCATTTATAATCCCCTGGAGCCAGCCTCGCGTCACCTCCCGGGAAGCCAGCACTAACCAGGAGGGACATGGGTCCAACAAACATGTGGTCGCGTTTAATCTACCCAGAATCCTGTCCACGTCATCTGGGGTCACAGGATCAAACTCATCCCAGATAACAGTCTCAAGACCTGTCTCCGTCACCCTCGCTGGATCTACTTGATGTTTTTACTTGGCTGTTCACCGCCCTGAGTCCTCAGGGAGAAGGGCGGTATACAAATTCAAAATAAAATAAAAAAATAAAAAATAAATAAATAGATTTAATTTCAAAACACTTAAAGATAATAGTGCTCAACTCTCTAAAACTAAATATAATACTATTCATATAGATTTTGTTAATTAATTAATATTTAATCTCTATTTCCTTCTTTATTTCTTTTCCCCATCCATTCGTACCACATGTCCCACACGCTATAAAATTCCGAATCTTCTCTGTCATTAATTTCTGAAGTCAATTTGTTCATTTCGGTGCACTCCAATATTTTTCCAATAACATGTTCTTGAGGTGGTATTTGTTTTTATTTCCAATACTGGGCAAAGGAAATTCTAGCGGCTGTCAGAATATGTATAATTAAATACTTTTTCTTTTTTGCATATTCAGTTTTCAAAATTCCTAGGAGAAAGGCTTTTGGGTCGAAATCAAAATTTTCTTTTATTATTTCTCTAATCCACATCCATATCATCCTCCAGAATTTTTGTGCCTGATTACATGTCCACCAGCAATGATAAAAAGTACCCTGCTGATGGTCACATTTCCAACATTTAGGGCTCGAATTGGGGTAGATCTTCGCTATCCTAGCTGGGGCCATATGCCATCTATAAAACAGCTTGTATTGGTTTTCCTTGTAAGCCGTCGCCTTTGTCATTTTAAGATTATTATTCCATATTGAATCCCATTCGTTCAGATTTATATTCTGTCCTATATTTTTGGCCCATGCTAACATCGGTTCTTTAACTACTTTCTCTGCCATATCGTACTCCAATAAGTAATTATATAATTTAGCTAGAATTTTGTCGTCCGTACCCATCCATATCTTGTCAGAAAACACCGGGAGCCACAAAAACCTTTCCCGTGCCTGACTATTTCTTTAGCGGCCACCAAACTAGCATATGTAGTTGAATTAAATGTTCTGTTTTCTTCTGAAACTTTTCTTTTCTTGGATTTATCCATGGTTGGCCTACTAAAGTTTGAAAAGCTCAATAAATCGTGTGCTGGCAGGTATCGCAAATTGGCAGTTGCAACGCATATTTTGAGTGACAGGGAGCCGCAGCAGAGGAGTGAAAGAGCCACATGCGGCTCCAGAACCGCAGGTTGCTGACCCCTGTCCTAGGGGATGAGACCCGCAACATTCCCTGTCTCCGCACTCTGGTGGCTCGGGCAGATGTAACCAGTAAGAGACGGTCCCTCAGATAACCTGGTCCCAAGCCATGAAGGGCTTTAAAGCTGATAACCAGCACCTTCAATTGTACCAGGAAGCAAATTGGCAGCCAATGCAGTTCCTGCAGGAGATACTTGTGCACAACGGGGTCTGCACAAAACTATGCGGGCCGCTGCATTTTGCATCAACTGGAGTGTGTTGCAATAGTCAAGACGGGAAGTGACTAGGGCATAACTGACTGTGAGTAGGGATTGTCAATCCAGAAAGGGACGTAACTGGCACACAACCCGTAGTAGTTGCACAAAGGCCCTCCTGCACACGACCGCCACCTGCTCTTTGAATAGATACAATAGATACAAAGTTACCGTAAACTGGGCTAAACTTGATTGCAGAAAATATGATTTCAGTAAAAGAGTCACTAATGCCTAGAACGCACTACCGTACTCTATAGTTTCTTCCCCTAAACCCCAAAACTTTAACCTTAGACCATCTACCCTCACCCCATTCCTAAGAGGTCTCTAAGGCGAGTGCATATACGCAGCAGCGTGCCTAGTGCCCCTGTCCTAATGTTCCCTTTTATATGTATCTATTTCATGTATTCATAATTATGTTTATACCTATATCTGTTAACTATTACATGCTTGACAATATATCTATTGTCAAGCACTCCTGTTCTGTCCCCGTCTCCACACACTGTCCACACCTTCCCGCCAGTATTTATAGAGAGACGGCAGCTCCGATTACGCTTTGCTTGCACAAGCACGAAACCATAGATAGATAGATAGAGATAGATAGGTATAGGTATAGGTATAGATATAGATATAGGTATATAAAAACAACCTCTGGGGCTGCTGCACAACCACCTTCTCAACCACCTTCCCCAAGAAGGGAAAACTGGAGTCAGGTTGGAAATTCTTCAACAGGGTGGAATCCAGGGATGGCTTCTTAAGAAGAGGGTGGACCACAGCGTCCTTCAAGTGCTGGGGCACTGCCCCCTCCTGTGGGGAAGCATTAATGACCACCAGCATCCACCCACCTGTCATCTCCCAGGAAGCTTTCCCAAGCCAGGCAGGGCATGGGTCTAAAACACAGGTGCTTGCACCCACCCATACTCCCTACGATCCTGTCCACTTCCCCAGGAGCAACAGGGTCAAACCGTTCCCAGATATCAGAGCAAGAACCTGCCTCAGAGGCTTCCACCGGACTAGCAACCACGCCGGCATCCAACTGGGAACAAAGTCAAGCGATTTTGTCTTCCAGAAAAACCACAGCACACCTTTTCAGGTAGACCTTAATCTCCTCCTTCCCCAGGAGGAGGAGGCTCACCTAAAGAGGGTCGCTGTCAGGATGGCCTCCTTTCATTATCCAAGAAAGAAAAACCCAACTCCATTTTCATAGAGAAAGGTAACTTTTACTGGATAAGAACTGAATGCAGTCAAAGAAAAGCAAGGTCTGAAGCAAAGGCACAAAAATCACATATAGAAAGCATCCCCCCCCCCCAACTGTCCATTGTAAATCATCCAATCCACAGGTTCTCCAGGGGTCGGATGGGAGCAAACGTCTGGCAGTGTCATCCTCTTGCTATGCCACGACCGTTGACCTGGAGACATCAGCCAGCTTCAAAGAAAACCGCTGCAAAGTTTTACTTTCTTTTCTCCTGAAGCTCGCTTCCCCCCTCCCAAGAATTCCAATAGCTCCCCCCTCCCCCTCCCGTTTCATGGCAGTCGAGCAAGTAAGCAATGAGCAAGAAAGTGGAGGCTCACAGTCGCTGGGCAATTATCTGCAGATGCAATTAGTGTGGAGAAGTATAAATAGGAGGAGGAATCGTATAGAAGACAGAGCGAAGGTAAGACAGATGGGTAATCAGGGGATCTTCAATTACCTCCTGAGGTGTCCTGACTTTGATCCTCCCAAGGGATCCTCCTGAAAAATAGCTGCGGAGGGGGATTTGGTGGGTTCTTCTTTCCCTCAGGATCTCTGATCTCCACAGTGCAGCACTTCCAATAGAAGGAAGGAAGTAGCAGAATTAATGTACATCACATGACGTAAAGTGGATTTGTATATTCTGAATACAACCTCAAAGCCCCCAATATCGGATAGGAGCTGAGGTAGCGCAGTGGTTAGAGTGCAGTACTGCAGCTACTTCAGCTTTAAAGAGCCTGTAGTACAGTGGACTAAAGTACTGTTATTAACATCTGTTGCTTGCAATTGCAAATTAAAGCAAAAAAAAAAAAAAAAGCTGACTGCAGTTCAGCAGATCAAATCTCACCGGCTCAGGGTTCACTCAGCCTTCCATCCTTCCGAGGTGGGTAAAATGAGATTGTTGGGGGCTATATGATAACAATATGCAATATGCTAACTTTGTAAACCGCTTAGAGAGGGCTATAAAGCACTATGAAGCAGTATAGAAGTCTACATACATACATACATACATACATAAATACATACATACATACATACATACATACATACATACATACATACATAAAATATCCATCCATGTGGTTGAATGAGAAAACAATGGAACAATGTCCTACAAGAATAGGTGGGACATCAGCACATATTATGAATGTCAGAGAAATTTGGGAAGGAGGGGTGAAGTATTCAAACAGATTCTCTATTCTCTTTTGAACTCTTACCTGCAACTCGACCTGCTCCTTCTGCTCTTCCACTTGGCTCAGGAGGAAGCCTTCCACCAGAGCCACTGCCTGGGAACTGGTCTCTGCTCCACACTCCCGCACCCAGCCCTCCATCTCTGGGGGCAGAAGAGCCAGGAACTGCTCCAGAACCACCAGGTCCAACATCTGGGCTTTGGTGTGCTTTTCTGGTCTCAGCCATTGCCTACAAAAATCATGGAGTCGGCTGCAAAGTCCTCGGGGACCTTCAGCCTCCTGGTATTGGATGAAGTTCCAGGGCTGAACTTCTGAAGGGAGGATGGTTTCCTCCTTCAGGAACTTCTGCCCAGTCCTTGTCCAGAGCTTCCCCCAATTCCCAGGCTGAGCAGCTGAAGGGCCTTTTCCGCTTCCCTCCTTTCCAAAAGGTTGTGTCTCCATCCTGGTGGGTCTCCTGATGCCTTTTCCTTCATGGGACCATTTCTGGGGCTGCAGGACTGATCCCTGCAAGTTATTCCGCTCTTTTTTTTTCCCCCAAGAGAAAATTTTGCCTTGCAAAGATTACAAATGCTTTCGACTTTGTGTATCTGAGATGGAAAGAAAAACAAATGCCAAGAATTAGAAAGTGGAATTGAGCCAATGAACAACCTTCTGGGCTTCCGCAAGGCTGACCCTCCCCTCCCCCCACTCGGGCTCTTTCAATGGAAAGGGTGGCTGGGGAGCATGGGAGCTGGGGTTGAAGCCGGAGGAGGGCCAGGCGAAGGTCTTTCCCTCCTCTGCCTCCCTTTGCCCGGGAAGAGCCCCCAACTCACCTGGGGAACGTCTGGATTCCCCCCCCCCCGACTCTCCGCCTTCTGCGGGGTTAAGGAGAGAGAGTGCACCGTCCTAGAGCGGCATGCTTTCGTGATGTCACTTCCTTCCCGGCCACCCCCTACAAAGACGGCTGTGACGTTCGCCCTCCTGTGGACCAATGGGGAAGCACCGGGAGTTCCCTTCCCTTGGCGGAGGGCGCCCCCTGGTGGATTAGGGGCAAAGTGCCAGGATTGCAGAAAGGGCGGGAAAGAGGAGCGCGTCTGAGGGGAAAGGAGAGGGCACGGATGATGGGCTTGGGAGTAGGAGGAAAGGCCCCTCTCAATGCCTGCCAGCCCAAGAAAAGCTTTCTGGTTTTCAGAGGCGGCACTTTCTCCATCTTCCTCTCTTTCCTATCCAGGAACCGTCTGTGGAGATGAAGAAAAATCTCTATGGAGGATTTGAACTCGCTTCCCTCAAGAACAGCCGCCCTGAAGGTTCCGCAGAGATTGTGGGAGGCCTTCAAACGGTCCAAATCCTGTCAGAAACAGACGGGCGGTCAGAAGAGGAGGACCAGGAGCCTCTGTGGGAAAGACAGCTGGTGTCTTGCGGTTGTTGGGAACTCCCGCCTGAAGAGGAGGCAGATGGGACACAGGCAGGAAGGCCACAATCAGGAAAATGATTTTAATTCATTTTTTTTATTTCTCTAATTCAATACATGCAGCTGCCCTTCTCAAGCTATTCGCTCAGCCTCTCCGCAAAGGGGGAAGGAGAAAGGGCAGGGACCCCTCCGGTCTCTTCTGATGAAAGAAAAGGAAGATCCTGAAAAAGGAATAGAAAGCTAAACTATGATGTGGAAAAGCCATTTTTATATAGGGATTGAGTAGGAAATTCACCTCAAGAAATGTGACTAGGAAGCTTAAGGCCCTTGGGGAATTGATTGCAGGAATATATCATTAGACCATAAATGAAAAGAGAAAAAGGAAAGGAAAAAGCAAAACACGAAAAGCTGAAGGCTCCATTGAGAATTTTATGCATCTTTTAGCAAGTAACTAGTAAATGATCTCTGGCGGGCCAGGGATGGGGGTTGTCCCTCCAACTTGGTCCTTCTTGACCTCTCCTGCGTGAGCTGCACTGGCTGCCGGTGGCGTTCCTGATTTGTTTCAAGGTACCGGTGCTTACCTATAAAGCCCTTCATGGCTTAGGCCCGGGGGACTTGTAGGACCACCTCCTGCTGCTCTCCCACCGTCCCTAATACACGTGTACTTTAAAACATATTCTTTCATTATCTAATCACCCATTTAATTCTAATATAATTCTACTGTTAATACACGTTTACTTTAAAATGTATTCTTTCATTATCTAATCACTTGTTATTTAGTTCTAGCATTTCACTGCCAATATTTTATGCATCTTTAATAATACCATCATTAAATTCTAATTTTCACTTGTTAATTCTTATTCATAATTTTTCTTATTTCCCCTATTCCATTCTTCATATCTATTTATATTAAGATATTATCCTAATGTCTATCACACTACTTATAAAATAATTAACCAAACTATATAATTCTAATATTAATACATATTATTAAAATAATTTATAAAGGATTCCTTTACTCTTTTTTTTCTCCCTTATCCATCATCTCTTGCCCGCATCCAAACCTTTAATCTTACTTTCTTTTTGGCTTGCCTCCCATATTCATCCCTTAAGTCTCTTACTCCATCTACTTCTAGATCTATCTTCTGACTATGCAATCTAACTTTTTCTTCCTTCTCTACCCTTTCCTACTGTCTAATTCCAAAACTATCTGTTCTAGGCCCCATCTCTTTTCCCGTTCTCTTCCTGTTTCTCCTGTTCCCTTTTTAAGTCTTTCACAGCATTTTCCTCCTTTTTTAGTTCCTTAATTGCTATTATTTTTAGGAATATCTTCTCCTTGTTGTCTTCTTGCTGGTTTCTCAGTTCTGCTTTCCCCTCCGTTCCTTCTGATGAGTTCATTCTTTCCTCGTTGTTCTGGTCTTTGCCTATTATCCCTTGTAATATAATTTCCAGTTTTTGGTCAATACAATCAAATATTTCCTTAATGCTTTGAAATAGCTCCATTCCGTTTTACTTCCCACACGTCTGTCTTTATTTATTGGTTCGATTTATATGCCGCCCTTCTCCAGAGACTCAGGGCGGCTTACAATGCGTTAAGCAATAGCTTTCCTACTTTTGTATATACCTGCTTAGTAGGGCTTTTGACCCCCCCAAGCTGTGTTCTTTTTATACAAAGTCAGCTTATTGCCCCCACAATCCGGGTCCTCATTTTACCTACCTCGGAAGGATGGTGAGCCTGGTGAGAATTGAACTCGCGGTAATTGCAGGCAGATGGCAGCTAAGTGCTAACTTTTTAACAGCACTTTAGTCCGCTGCGTAAACATAGTGGGTCTTTTTGACCAATTGTCCAGGAATCATTAATTCAATAGAAAACTTCTGGATCACAGTTTTAAATGTCTCATCAATAATCAATCCAATCAATTTAAATACACCAGGGAGTTATCCAAGTCACTTTAATGTGTTCAGTAGTATTCAGGGGTCTTTTAACTGGAGTTCTTATATAATTTTCAAATCTCTACTGGTCTTAGAGTAGATGCATGTTCAGCAAATATTTTCAGTCTCTTGGAACGATTACACAGTTGCCCTTTCATCAGCAGATGTCACTCTCGCTTCAGTCTGTTCAGCCTCTCTACAATGTTATTAGCAAGTATGATTTAACTGTTTTAAATTGTAAATCCAGTAAATGAGCAGTATTAGAAAAAGAGTTTGGGATTATAATTGCAGCATTTTACAAATGCCTCTTCAATACCACATCTTTAACTTTGAGAATCCAAATTTCTATTTATTTTAAAAAGTAATTGTTTTTCCTCTTAAATTCTCCGGTATTGTTTCCAAGTGTCTGTTCGCTGCTTCGACAAATACCGTATTTTTCGGAGTATAAGACTCACCGGAATATAAGACGCACCTACCTTTTTTGCTTTGTTTTTTTGATAAAAAGTTTATTTTTTAGACAAACACACATCAAGAAAGGGAACTGTGGAGAGACTAAGAGAAAAGGGTTAAGAGTCAGTGAAAACATTAATTTGTTAATAAAGAGAAGGATGCCAGTTGTAGAAATTATATGTGAAAATGCTGCTAAATGGAAAATAGAACAATGTAATGTGAAAGACAATGATATTGGAAGAAGCACGAAGAGGAGAAAATAAATTATAAAAATTAATTGAATAAGATGGAATATGGAAATTAAATGTAAAACAATGAAATTGAAATGCAAAAAATGATTCAAACGATATACTTGTAAGAAGTAAAGTAAAAATATATTGTTAAAAGTAAAAAGTCTAAGGATTGGAAGATTGAGTAAAGATTTAAAAAAAATGGAGTAAGATGAAATATACTGCTAATAATTTAAAAGATGAGGGGAAATTTTGAGAAATATACTTTTAATTTAATTTTAATTATTAAATTATTAAATTTTAATAATTAAATTAAAAAAATTAAAATTAAATTAAAAAGATGAGGGGAAGTTTTGAGAGATATACTTGATAAATAAAAGACAGAGCGGGGTTGCCTGGACTCCATAGTGGAAAATACAAAATTGAAAATGAATACAGCAATAGAGAGGGATGAAGGAAGGAGTAGAGAGATGGAAGAAGGAAGGAGAGAGAGGGAAGGAGGAGAAGGGAGGAAGGAAGGGAAGGGAAATTAGAGTAAGAGTGAGGGTAAGAGAGGGATGAAGGAAGGAGTAGAGAGATGGAAGAAGGAAGGAGAGAGAGGGAAGGTGGAGAAGGGAGGAAGGAAGGGAAGGGAAATTAGAGTAAGAGTGAGGGTAAGAGAGGGAGGAAGAGAGGAGAAGGAGAAAGGAAGGGGAAGTAGGGAGGAGAAGAAGGGGGGGAGAGAAAGTAAGATGGAAAGAAAAGAGAGAGGTGGTAGGTTTGAGGAGAAAGATTGCTGTACAATAAAAAAGATGAAAGGGAAGAAAACCAACCCCAAACAAATATGAAGATATTAAGATAAAGAATGGATTGTTAAACTTTAAAGAATAAAGGAGAACAAATATGAATAAATAGCAATAATTAGAAACACACATACAAACATGCAATGTATTTTCTTTGAACAGAGTATTTGGCCGGTTCACAAATTTAAACAGTGTTTAGTCATTTTAATTAAATTTACAATTTCTATATTTCCTTTTTGCCATATTTATTCCTCATCCATTTTTAAAAAAAACCAATATTACCCTTCATCCTCATCTCTAATCTTAATCAAATTCAACTTTTCCCTTCTATTCTATATTATACCCTTTTCCATTGTCATCTATTTTTATATTCATCCTCACATTGGTTAATTATGTAATATTACAGTTGTTTAATAGAAATTCAACATTTTAATATAAATCAATTAGTTATATAACTATTTTTTTGTATATTAATCAATATGAACATGAATATTCCAATTTTTTCCATGTAATCCAATTTCTTACAAATCAATTAATTATATTTACCAATAATAATAAACCAAATAATTTGCCCCATATATTCCTCCAAACCACAACTTAACAATTTCTGCTTTCAACACAATATACAATTAATCTCAATCTCGATTATCACAATTTCCTAGTTAAATAGAGCTTTCCCCTTATGTTACTCATTTTCACACCTTAAACTCTCCCAACAACCCAAATATTTTTGTCCATAAGGTCATCCCACCCACCCCCGGGGGTGGTACCGCCCACTTTGGGAACCACTGATCTAGTCCACCACCCCCACCCAAGCAGAAGACCCTACAGTGTTTCTGACAAATGGCAGTCCAATCTCTTCTTGAAAGCCACCAGCGATGAAGTGCCCACAAATTCCGAAGGCAAGCTCTTCCATTGGTTGATGGTTCTGTCAGAAAATTTCTCCTTATTTCTGGGTAGAATCGCTCCTTGATAAGTTTCCATCCATTATTCCTTGTCTGGCCTTCAGGTGCCTTGGATCCCATTCTCTCTGTGGCAGCCCCTCAAATATTGGAACACTGCTATCCTGTCCCCCCTGGTCCTTCTCTTCACTAGACTAGCCATGCCCAGTTCTTATAACTGTTCTTGTTTTAGTCTTCCAGATTTTAATCAGCTTAGATGCTCTTCTCACTTTTTCCAAACTTTCAACAACTTTTTTGTAACATGATGACCCAAAGAGGATGCGGTATTCCGGGTGTGGTCTTACTAAGGCTTTATAGAGCGGTACTAATACTTCATGTGATTTTTATTCTATGCCTCTGTTTATACAACCAAGGATTGTATTCGCTTTTTTGGCTGCTGCCGCACACAGGTGATTCATGCTTAATTGATCATCCATTCTGACTCCAAGGACCCTTCACAGTTACTATTTTCGAGCCAGGTTTCAGGAAATCTGTTTTTCCTGCCCAGGTGTAAAAGTTTGCTTTTCTCCACATTAAATTTCATTTTCTTGGATTCTACCTTGTCTCGTTTGGATCCGAAAGGCACAATATGCATACAGATCAAAATCTATAGAGACGTGGTGGATCAGTGGTTAGAA